ATCTGGAGATTAACGCGAGAGTTGAAACTTAAAAGTTCACGCGCGTACTTTTTCCAACTAAACAAAATTAGGTAATTTCGAAAGGGGGTTAACCTACAGATTTGAGGCGCGTGTTGATAACTCGCTTATTGTGCGCGTGGTTATTTTGTTTTCAAATTGATATTCACCATACAAATATTTTCTTGTGTGGGCTTTCTTAATTCCGGCCTTTTCGTTTTCGGGCTTTCGCCCATTTTACAGATTTTTTTATTTTTTTATGATTTTCTACTAATTCGTATGACTATCGCTTTTTCTTTTTATTTTAAAAACACTAGAGTAAGACCATGTACACCGGTGATCTTTTTTTAGTATCATTGGCCCAAAAACAATTTTTTAATAGATAAAACCACATAATTGGGTCTGATCCGTATCAGTGGACTGATATCTGTGAGACTTAGTATCAGATGACGTGGCAGAAGGCTATTCGACCGTGATGTATTTTTGGTGAAAACAGAGAAAAAAAAAATCTCTTCGTCGGCTCTCTCATTCCTTGTTGTCTCTTCTACTTTCTCCAGCTTTACCTAAAACGACGCCGTCCTCCTCCCTCCAACCCGACGGAGTTACCGAGAACGTCGTCACGGACTAATCTCTTCTCTCGTGGAAACTCGATCGAACGAGTTCGAGCCTCCTCTCGAGCTGTTCCTCTGGCGAAACCTTCCGATTCGCCTTATTACATTGGGTTGGAGAGAGTCAAGACGGATCCGTACGATCGGATTAAGAACACGGATGGGATTATTCAGCTTGGATTAGCTGAGAGTACAGTGAGTTTTGAAAGTTTACGATGATTTCGTCTCTCTTTGTGATTGTTGCGATGAGGTTTAATCTGATTTTCATTGGGGATTGGTTTTTGTAGCTGTGCTTTGACTTGCTACAGAGATGGATGTCTGAGAATTTGATGGAGTCGATGATGCAATCTGATGATGGTAAATTCGATATTAGTAGTATCGCAATGTATAAACCTATTGAAGGATTACTGGAACTCAGAGGTGTAGATAACATTCACTCGTTATTCTTCAATTTCTTGAACATGAAAAGCTTTTTTGCAATTATTAGTTAAAAATTGACTGCAAAATTGTTTTAGAATTTGTTTGATTGATATCTGTTCTTGTATATATTTGTTGTAACAACACTGTAACATTGATGATGGTAAATTTCTTATTAGGGTTCTTTGATTTTAGGGCAATTAGAGTCTCTGTTTTTGTTGACAGATTCACCTAGAATCTCTTAAATGCATGGATCTTCCACTAAGCTTGTCTCTTATCTTGTACCATGTTTCTTGTGTATACAAGTTGTTACAATCGAATTATCATTCTGTTTCCTTATATATGTTTATATGTATCTCCAGATAATCGCTCTTAGAAGAGCAAAGAGGAGAAACATGGAACGTTTGGTTTTGGCATGTGGTGGAGAAGCTGTGAACTCCGTTGATGACTTGACCCCTGATTCTCTTTGTTGGGCTGGATTTGTATATGAGCACGTTCTTGGAAAGGAGAGGTACACATTTGTCGAGCAAGTGAAGAATCCTCATTCATGTACTATCCTCATAAAAGGTACACAGTCCCAAACTTCTATCTCTTGAGTCTTGTCAGCTAAGTTTTGAAAGTCAATTTTACTTATCTTTATATGCGTGGTCATCCATTATCTATGATTGAAACTTCTATCTCTTGTTCTCAGTTTAAGGGAATGCCAAGTAAAAGATGACACCAAAAAAATTCAAAGAAAGCAAAAGAGGTACAAGCACCTGAAATGCCATCAAGACCTGAGATTTTCAGTTCAGAGAAAGCAAAAGACAAGCACCTAAAATGCCATCAAGACCTGAAATCTAGAATTCAGAGAAAGCAAAAGAGGTCCAAGCCAATAACAGCTTCTGTGTGTATGTGTAATGTGTGTAAACTTATCATGTATGCAAATATGAATGTTTAAGAGAAAAATCTTTTTCATGGTTGAACAAAAGAGAGAAACACACAAACATGTGATCTAAACTTCAAATTGCAACAAAATTGACTGGCATCTTGTAACTTGTTGTTCTGTTTAGCGTTTTTTTTTTTTTTTTGCTTATTTGCAAAATCAATTTTGTTACAAATCAATATTTTTATAGAT